GCTGCTCCCATATGGCCAGACGCTTATTTCTACCATCTACTACGAAGAACTGGACCACTTGAAGCTGGCGATCGACCAGAAGCGACCAGAATTGGCCAACAGGAAGGGTGTAGTGATTCACCAGGAGATCGCCAGACCACACATTTCTTTGACGACTTGTCAGAAGCTACGGGAGCTCGGATGGGAGATTTTATCCCTTCCACCATATAGCCCGGACATAGCGCCAAGTGAGTACCACCTGTTCCTTTCCATGGCGAATGCCCTTACTGGTGTAAAGTTGGGCTCAAGAGAGGGTTGTGAAAAGTGGCTGTCAGAGTTTTTCGCAAACAAGGAGGGAAGTTTCTACGAGGGGGGTATTATGAAGTTGCCGTCTAAATGGGAACACATTATCGAACAAAACGGCAGATATTTTAGCTAAAGCTGTTCACTCTATCAATTTTTATAAAGCATTGAATAACAAGCAAAAGAGCGGAAGGGACTTATTTGACAACCTAGTATATTCTAGATCAGGATCGCGTCCTGAGTTGATATAAGCATGTCCGTCTGTCTGTCCGTCTGTCTGTTTCTACGCGATCTAGTCTCTCAGTTTTAAAGATATCGAATTGAAACTTTGCACACACCCTTCGTTCCTTTGCACGCAGTATATATGTCGGAACGGCCGGGATCGGCCGACTATATCCTATAGCCGCCATATAACTGATTGATCGGAAACGCCACAACTTTGATGTTTGTAAAGTTAGGATGTTAAGATTTTCTTTGGGTGTTATTTTTGGCCAATCATTCCGACCTAACAAATTTCATAAGGATCAGCTAACTATATGTTATAAATTGGTTTATAGCTGGCATATAACTAATTGATCGAAAATGCCATAGCTTTGGTGAAAGATGGGACTGGCTATATCATATAGCTGCTATATACATGAACGATCAGAAACGAGATAACTTTGGCGTGTTCTTCAGACTTAACTTTAAACCTAATTATACCCTTGCAGGGGGTATTATAATTTCAGTCAATGTTAAGCGAGGGGAATCGGAAGCTGACTATAAAAAATATATCTTGACTGATTCTAAGTTTGGGCCGATTTTTAAGCGATTTTGTGATGATGAATTTTAAGACGCTTTTTCTACTGAGCCTATGGACACTCTGTATTCATATCTGCTCGTAGCTACATATCTAAGACTTCGAAGACAAATTATTTTGTTTTCCCTTGCGTCCTTTTTGCTTTGTAATATTATAAAGGCAGCTACAACCAAGCTACGTTTACGACCCTCTAAAGTTTGGACATCTCCCGCTGTCTCCCTAACAAGAAAGTTTAAAATCTTTTATGGGCCAATAATATCCCGTTTCATTCTTGGCAATAAAAAACTGATCGATCTTTCAGCACGGATCCTGAAGTCTATAACACTACAACTTTGGACTATCAGTTAGTTAATATAGTGTCTCCTGAACGCCGAGATGACACCGATACGTATTTTTATACCCTTGCAGAGGGTATTATTATTTTGGTCAAAAGTGTGCAACGCAGTGAAGGAGACATCTCCGACCCTATAAAGTATATATATTCTTGATCAGGATCACCTCCTGAGTTGATATAGCCATGTCCGTCTGTCCGTCTGTCTGTTTCTACGCAAACTAGTCTCTCAGTTTTTAAGCTATCAAATTGAAACTTTGCACACATCCTTCTTTCCTTTGCACGCAGTATATAAGTCGGAACGGCCGGGATCGGCCGACTATATCCTATAGCTTGATCGAAACCGATTGATCGAAAATGCCATAACGTTGTTGTTTGTAAAGTTAGGAAGCTGGGATTTTCTATGGGTTTTATATTTGACCAATCAATCCGACCTACCAAATGTCATGAGGATCGCCCGACTATATCCTGTACCCGCCATATAACTGATTGATCGGAAATGCCATAACTTTGGTGTTTTCTGGCCAATCAATCCGAACTATCAAATTTCATACGGATCGGCCGACTATATCCTATAGCTGCCATATAACTGAACGATTGGAAATGGCATAACTTTGGTGTTTTTAAAGTTGGGAATATGAATAATTTTGGAGAATATAATTTACAGAGTATTCTGCAAGGGTATATCAACTTCGGCTCCGCCCGAATCTAGCTTTCCTTTCTTGTTATTGCTAAGATTCTGAATTAACTAAAAACACATGACTGAAATTACCAAAAAGTGAACATAAAGTAAATCAGCCATGTCCTCACAGTACCTTGGCTTGAAACAGCAAACGACTAATACTGGCTTCTCTGGATCATATGCATTTCAAGATAACCATTTTAATTTATCACAGCACACACTCCAGACTCTTTAGCCTGGTCGTTAACATTTTAAAATATAATAGTTGGCCTTACCTGTTTACAGACAGTCATCTGTCTGACCGTCAACGAGGCGACACTGCCAAATTTCATAAGGATCGTCCGACTATATCCTATAGCCATATAACTGAATGATTTTAAATGCCATAACTTTGCTGTTTTTAAAGTAAGGAAGCTGGGATTTTTTATGGGTTTTATTTTTGGCCAACCAATATAGTTTACAGAATATTCTGCAAGGGCGGATGTAATTTTCTGGTATTTTTTCGTCGTCCTGAGTACCGTGGTTCAGAAAAAGACTCTGACGAAAAGTGTTCGCCAGCTGTTTGATCTCGCTCCATAGCTGACGAACAGATTTCGTTATACTTTTTATAATTTTTTCCGATTGTTTCTATGGGAGCTATAAGATATAGACGTCCGATTCGGTTCGTTCCGACTTATATACTACCTGCAATAGAAAGACAACTTTTGGGAAGTTTCAAGAAGATAGCTTTGAAGTTAAAGGACTAGTTTGCGTAGAAACGGACAGACGGACGGACGGACAGACAGACGAACATGGCTAGATCGACACTCCTGGTGATGCTGATCAAGAATATACAGTGACAAACTTTATTATTGGCACAGCAAGCATGTTAAACTTTAAGGCTATTTTTCTTCTTCTAATATGCTGATATTAAAATATAACAAAATAATTTTAGATAGAATCATTAATTTATTGTTAAATACAAGTGACTTTATTAATTTATCTTTTATAAATAATTTATTTAAAATAAAAAACCAAAGAATGGCCCAATTTCCCTGAACAAAATTATTGGCACACTTGGGTTTTAATTAACTATTTTGTTAAAGCTTTATCGATTTGGCCACTTTTTTTAAATGATCATATTTGCCTCTATAATCTTAATGGTATAAAGATATATTTTATTGCTAAAATTGTTTTAGTGCCTTAAAATAAAGGAAAAGTTGTTTGACTTTACAAGGTAAAAATAAAATCAACCATATGTGTCCAAAAATTAAAATTTAATAAGCAGGATCAATGCAAATCCAATGCTAACATTTGGGAAAGGATGCCCAAAAGCCATTTTTCCCATTCGGAGTCCTTTGCGACATTTTAAAGGACTTACGCAGTTGCAAAATGCAGGGCACACTGGCAAATCCATGGCTTTGAGTGGCCAGGAAAGCGTAAGGATCGTATAAAAGGACAATGTCAACCCCCAGATCTCCTCAACACGTATCAAAGTTAATGATAAGAAGGACTTTGGTAAGGATATTCACCCAACAGCCTTTTTACAGGCCCTGCATAATGGTTTCTACAAACGAATTGAAGTATGTACAGCTGTGTTCACAGAAATAGCAGTGCGACAGAAGAACAACTATAAAACGGTTTTTTGGAATATTCCTTTTTGTTAGTTGATCTATTGCACATTGATTTTGTAAAATGGAACATAGAGATAAGAAATAGGCAAAAGTTTCGTTAGATTCGCTTTATTTTTGTGTTATTTTGATATTTTTTCAAACGTACCAATAGTTTTGGCTATTCACTGAAATAGCAGTTTTTGATTTTGTTTCGCGAAAAGTGCAGAAATTGTTTGTCATGTTGTGAAAAGGGAGTTTAATTGAGTTCATTATTATAGTTAATACGACAATATACTTTTACATTGCAAAAAATTTCACTTTAGTGGGTTAAGGACCTCAATGCTCCAAGCGAGAAAGGGAAAAGATCATTCGGCTTAGAAAGGAGGGCAGAACATATAAAATTATTCTAAGCCTATTGAAATGTTTTGCCAAGATGTTGTCCGATGCCATAAAATATGAACCGAAACCAAAAAAACGAGGTGGGATTCGCAAAATCACAATTGGAGAGGACCGACGCATAGTACGCTTCAGCAAAGCTAATCCTTTTGCTTCCTCTAGGGATATAAAAGCGAATATTGGCTTGGGGATCAGTGATGTGACCATTCGCCGGCGACTTCTTGAGAAAAATTTGAATGAGCGAAGTTCACGGAAGGTGCCATTACTTGGTAAAAGGCATATAAAAGCCAGGTTGGAGTTCGCCAAAAGCCACTTGAACTGACCACTATCCAAATGGCGTATTATTTTTTGGACAGATGAGCCCAAACTGGTTTTATTTGGTGGAAAAGGATCAAGACAATATTATCGTCGACCTCCAAATACAGAGAACCACCCAAACCATACACTGAAGACAGTAGAGCACGGTGACCTTAAAATCATGGTATGGGCATGCTTTTCATACAACGGTGTAGGTCCCATACATATGATCGATGGGATCATGGAGTAATATACATATGCACAAATACTTAAAACTGTCATGCAGTCGTATGCTGAGAAAGATTTGCCTTTAATTTGGACATTTCAGCAAGACAATGATCCTAAACATACCAGTAAGGTGGCCAGGGAGTGGTTTATTAAAGAAAAAGTTTATGAAATGCAATGGCCAGCACAGTCCCCGGATTTAAATCCTATTGAAAACTTGTTGGGTGACATCGAGCGCTACGCATCGAAGAAGTCCCCGACTTCTAAGCTGCAGCTTTGGCAATTTGTGCAGGAGGCATGGAGATAGATTCCCCTCAAGCGTTGTCAAGGATTGGTGGACTCCGTGCCACGTAGGTTTGAGGCTGTGATAGCTAGTAAAGGCTATTCAACAAAATATTAGATCATAGACAAATTGTATTTCAGTAGGATTAGGTTATTTATAAGATATTTTGAAGTTGATTACATTTTTGTTAATTGTTTACTTTGACTGCTATTTCAATGAACAGCATAATATATACTTTTTTTTGTTGTTATTAGCTATATCTTCTAAAGTGTTTAAGTTACCCAAATGAAATAATTGTTTTATTATTAATAATTAAATACAATAAGACTTTATGAAAAATCTTGTTAACAAAGTAGTGTTTGTAATAGTATTTTTTAATCTTAAACGTGCAGGTCGTAAGCACTGCTATTTCGGTGAACACAGCTGTACATACATATGTATGTATATACTTTATTAGGTCGGAAATGTCTCCTTCACTGCGTTGCAATCTCTTGGCTGAAATTAGAATACCCTCTGCAAGAGTATACATAAAAACAATCCCGAAAACAAAGAAAGACTTCTGAGGCACAATAGAAGGTCATTATTTTGTTTTCATAGCTATTTTGTTAAAAATGAAAAATTAAATTAATTTATACATGTATGTACATATGTAAGTATGTAAATACTTAAAAATATGTAAATACATACCAAAATAACCAGTTTGTCAAGAAATACATTTTCTTGTATACCTAACACTATATTTGTTATTTGCAATTAACTTTCTTCATATACATTTTTGAGTTATGTCGCTAAAATTAGCTATGAACTCCATTTTCAAGTTCTTATCACTAAACGCTTCATGCCTAAAATACGTTTTGAACTTAGTGACATTGGATGAAAGCTTTGAGCTCGTCTTTTCATATGTATGCATGGGCACATCAAAACACATATGTACATGTATGTAATTATTTCATTTGCTTTGCGCTCTCGTTAACAAAAGTCACGAAGCTTTTTCCGTGTTCAGATCAACTGAAAAGGAACGATCCACATTTATTGAACAATAATTAGTAATAATCTGATTTAATTTCTCCGTAAATAAGAAGTCGGTAGGTAAATTAAAAAAAAAATTAATTAATTTTAATTTTTAACGAGTCAAAAAAAGCCAACCAAACGTTTCTACAAGAACCATTATAGTTAAAAGTTAAATGAAAGGAGATATTTATAAAGTAACCATCGGGTTAACAAGTGTTATTTATAAAATTAGTGTAATATTATTTTAAAGTTTTTTTTTAATATTACCATATATATTAATTACCAGTTTTTCATTGACCTTTTCAACGGCGCATATGTACATACATACATATATGTATTCATATAATGTGCATATGTACACATATTAAACTTTAAAAATGACATGCGTGTATTCCGAGCCCCTCAAAATACATACATTTGTATGTTTGCTAGTATATACATACATATATAACTAAATGAAGAAATTCTTTAAAAAAAAATGGTGCAGTTATAATTCCTATATAAGGCTAAGTAAAAGGATGGAGCATAGGAACTGTAAAAGTTGGGGGCATATTTTTTTTCTCAAGCCGAACGCAGAAAATTGTAAATATCTTCGAAAAAGTTTGTATTAAATATGTATGTACAGTATCTCAAGTAATTGTTTGCAAAATAAAAAATGTCATTCCGGTCAATTCAAGCTTAAATCGAAAATTTATTAACAAAAACAAGATTTATCACATTTATCGCCTAGTACTCAGATCGACAAACGAGTACGCTAGCGTAAAAACTTTAATCTTTCAAGTGTGACCAAAATTTCGAGAGTTCATCAGAATTAAGCGTGCTACGGTCGTATTGTCAATCAGCTGGGTTTGTTTTTTTAATTTACTGATAATTATTTGCTATTTTAAAGTTCCTAGCAGCACTTTTATTGTGTTTTTTCGTACATTTTTGACCTAAGAAACACTTTGCTCTGACAAGAGGCACCCCAGATAGTATTAATATTATTTTGTCCTCACATGTAAACTTCTGCAATCGACTTTTACTGGTTTTTTGATTTTTTCCGTCTATTTTTATTCTTTTCGCTAGGATTTACCCAAAGTTCATTTCAGCAGACTGGCAACGCCTAGAAATTTTCTGGTATTTTTTCGTCGATCTGAGTACCGAGGTGAAAAAAGCCTCACGAAAAGTGAACGCCAGCTGTTTGCCTCTCGCTCTCTCTCTTGAGTGGCGGACAGTTTTCGTCGATCTGAGTACTAGGCTTTAAAATTCGAATATCGTGTTAGCGGGAAAGAGCCGTTAAAATATATTATCAACTACCTTGGCCAGACAAGTCTGCCGCTGTACAAAGAAATTAAAAAACAATACAAATCAAATTTAGCAGTTGTTTTTTAATTTACTGATAATTATTTGTACTGATTCAATACGAACAATATGTATTCCGTATTCTAGACTCCAGAAGGGAGACCCATACTCCAGAATCGAACGGACTAGCGAAATAAATAAAGTTTTAGTGACATAAGGCTCATCGAATTCTTTTGACCACTTTTTAATAAGTCCAAGCACTCCTCTGGCTTTATTAACCATGGACGAAATGTGGTTTGAAAATTTTAGTTTAGGGTCCAAGAGAACGCCAAGATCGTTTACAAGAGATCCATTTAAGGAGATCAACTGGAAAAGCTAACAGGTCAAGTTTTTGAACAAGAAGTAAGTGATTTACAGAGTCAAATGCTTTACTAAAGTCAGTGTAAATGACGTCTGTTTGAAAACTACTATTGAAGCCTTTTATCACATACTAGCAGGGTGCCCGCAGCTTCGCTTGCGATGTCTTATGTTTGCATTATATCTGTCTCCATACAGGAAGCTCTTAAATATTAAGACAATATTTTTTAAATAGAGCAATTTATGCAATGTTTATATCGAATAATAAGATTAAAAACTACAAAAACGCATTTATATATGTACAAAATGCAATTATGCAAATTGGTATATCACAACTGCACATAATTAATAAATAACCAAATATTCATTTAAATGTAAATCATTTATGACTTTACTAATTAAGAATAGTAAAAAACAATACTAACTGGCATAACTCACCAAATTTTTAAGTTAACATCAGAGATATCAACAAATTTGCACATTCTATAGAAAAAATTAAAATTCCGAGAAAGGCGAACTAAAATAATAATATTATTGCTCACATACGGTTATACACCAAAATACACGGTTATGCAAATAAATTTTCCTATTAATTAGGCGAAGAGTAGGCTTTGATTAGAAGATAGCTAGAGCTTTGGTGAAACCATCAAATGAATCGTTAAAGCTTAAGGAAAAACTTTACCGAAGGAATTTTTGATACTCTGTTTAGAAGCGCCATGTTTCGACGTTTGAAGATATTTTTGGCTAAATTGTAATTTTAGAACGGGTGTTAAAAATAGTAAAAAGCCTTAAATCTAAGCGGTCAAATTTTTTAAACATTTATAATGTTTTAAGCTACTTTTTGGCGAAAACACGGATTCGATTGGTTAAACGGTTTAGAAAAGAAAATTTACCTTTTTTCCAATTGGAAGCAATTGGGGCCACTTGGGGAGCCCCAATAAATCTTAGCAAATCAGCTTAAAGTTATTAGAATGTAATAAAAATGCATATATATATCTTTAGCCAGTGGTTTTGGCTCTGCGTGGGTTCCCAGTTTTCTTACTGATAGCTTTATATATAGAGATGTAGTGAGCTCTAGAAGGTTTGTGATTGTGGATCTACGTTTAATAAATCCGTGTTGACACGGAGAAATGATTGATCTGCAAAGGTGCTGCAAATGAGGAGTAATGATTTTTTCAAAAAGCTTAGGAATAGCTGACAACTTAGAAATACCTCTGTAGTTACTGGCTTCTAACTTGTCACCCTTTTTGAAAAGAGGAATAACAAATGATTCCTTCCAAATATTTGGGAATTGTGAAGTTTCTAGTGATAAGGTAAACAACTTGTGAAGAGGATTGCACAGGGCCTTAGCGCAATACCTAAGCACGCAATAAACAGGCTTAATACGAAGAAGATCTAAAAGAAGAGAGTTTTCTGTTAAAGTGGGACAGAATATGAGGTTTGACTTGGATGTGGTGTAAGAATAAGGCTGTGATGAATCATCTAAAGTAGAGTAAGTCATTTGAAAAAATTGGGCAAATAAATCGGCTATTGCCTGATCTGTGGTTGCCGTCGTGTTTTCGCTTGGTGTTAACCAAGTTATAAAACTGTTTCGGGTCTTGAGAGAACTGGACCTTACAACGCTATAAGTAACTATTATAACACTGAGCATTAAGCCGCACTTAAATATCTAGTAAAAACAGATTGAGAACCGGTATTTTTATATTTCCTAAAAAGTTTGGACTTTACATTTCTTAAGTGTGTCAACACTTTGCTAAACCAAGGTAATGTATTGAAAATTGAAGGATAGTACCACGGAACACAGGAATTGAAAAATGAGTTTATTGCAGTGTAAAAAACATTAACTGCATCGGACATATTATTGCATAAGTAAAGATCAGACCAATTAAAGCCAGAAATAAAATTATTTAGCCTCAGAAAGTCTGCCTTGCGAAAACAATGTATTCGTTTGGATGATTTTTCTGATTTTTCTTCTATAACTCTACCCGTATCAAATGAAAGTTCGATTGTAGGGTGGTATGGATCTTCAGGTTGCGTGAGTGGTGCTACTCTGGACAGAAACACACCTTCAGGATTTGATACAAAACACAAATCAAGTGGCGACCTAAAGAATTTCGAACATGGTTTACTTGAGATAAAGATACGTCAAGCAGGCCGTCAATAAAATCATGCTGTGCTATAGATAGTAAGACATTCGATCTATCCTCAGTGGACCAGGTAACTCCAGGTATATCAAAATCACCTTGAAACACCAACTGATCCCTATCGGAAAGCTTATTTGCAACAGACTTAATAACGAAAAGGTGATTTAAATAATCAGGAAGTTCAGACAACGTCGGAATATATGATCAAGTTATGTATATAGAGCTACCAGGAAGCGATAACTTTACACAAACAAATTCAATGGTATTGAATTCATATAAAAATAACTCCTCAGGCGTGAGGTTTGAATCAACTCCAATTAAGACTCCATCACCCCGTCTAGAGGGACGGTCATACCTATATATTGTGTACTTACCTGGAAAAACAATAATATAAGATGCAAAGGAAAGGGTATCGGAATACAATTTAGTAAGCTTGATACGCAAACCTCTTGCATTCTGATAGGAAAGAAGGAGGTTAGAAGTTAGTTTTTTGATATTGGTACACTGGTTTGGCCTCGACTAGGAAGTTTTACTCTCACTTTTACAATCATATTATCCGGCCAAAAGTCGCCCGAGAATATGTCTTCAAACACAGTTATCTTTTCCACCTTTACACTAATACTGTCAGCTATAGTTTTGTCTTGTATATAAGACAATACATCAGAAGATGTTTGATCAGAGGAAAGCCGAGAAACAAAAATTTGTTTCTTTAGTGGAACCACTGAATGGGATTTTGGTGGAGCAGACATTGTTTCTGCAAAACCAACTTGAGCCGGATGTCCGGACTCAGTGGTCCCTTGTGGCGGTGTAGCTACATTTTGAGAGATAGGTGGATCCACTAATTGTGAAACCACTGCGGAAAAAGTCGTAATTCTTAGAAGTCCCTGGTTGCCTGCATTCTACTACGGATTGTTCGGATACCGATTTTTTTTAGCTGCTGATCTTAGCAACATTTAAGGGTTTGCTGCAATCAGCTGCTGATCCGCCAGAACGCACCGTTGTTCTTTTGATTGCGGTTACGGGGTTTTCCAGTTTTGCTGCTTACCACCAGCGGCTTTTCTGAGCTTAGGGGATAGCTTCCGACTATTAAACTGCGAATCCAGCGCAGAGAGGAGCCCCCTTTAGTTTGGTGCATGAACGATTTCATCTCGTTCGCAACCTCGACACAAGCATCACAACAGAAATGCAAATTGGGCCCCTTTGAGAGGTCGTAACTTGTCCGGCCAGTAAAACCGACGGATAAAATGAATATTGATCGATTAATTGAAAATTTCTATTTCAAATGAAAAATAAAAT